TTGCACTGAGGTGGCTGGGGCTGGCTTCCAAATACTGTGCTTCAACCCATTGCACCACCAGGGAGGGTGTCCTTTGAAATATTTTAGAAAGAGGAAAACTGTTACAATTAGATTATTTAAAAAGCTCAGCGGTGTTGACAATGTATCATCAAACTGTAACTGATGTTGGACAATAGTACCTGATACAGTGAATTTGGCAGCAGAAACACCTAAGCTATATTTATGTGATGTTGCTACAAATATGCCACTGTACTATAGAGTCGAGAAAAAAAGCCCCCAGGCTTCAGGCATGAAAAGTGTGACAATGATAAATGGAGGTCATGGTGATGCACAGGGCAGACCTATGGTCAGGGGAGGTGAATGCTTAGGGCATTAAAGCTACAAAACCATGCACATGAGCTGCTGAATGTGGATGGAGCTGTTTTAGGAAAGTACAAAATGCAAAAGGAAGGAAAAGCTGGTGTCAAATGTATGCTAGCTCCGCAGGGAAACAGACGTAGGAGAGTTCAGAGCTGGGATTGTGGCGCTTTGGCCAAAGGAGTTAACTTTTCTGCATCTTCCTTAATTTGCAAAATGAAGCTAATTTGCAGCCAGTAAATCACTTTTTATAGGAAATAATACCACGCCTAGAGAAAAGTCGCAAAAATAATTCCCAGATGTTCTCCATCCAGACTCATCATTTTTAATATTTTGTCACATTCATTATCCCATCTAGGTTTTTTCTGAACACTTGAGAGTAACACATATATCATGCCCCTTTCTCCTTTGATACTTCAGTTCCAATTTCCCAAGAACAAGAATTCCCCATGAAATCGAAATGTCGTTTTTGAAATCAGAATGTGACATTTTACACTGGGGGAAGGTTGGATGTACCCAGCGCCCTACTGTTCCCGACAGGCCATTGTCCGGGCTTGCTGACTGTTCCATTCACACCCTCCACCACATCGTTAGCCGCTAGCAGGGGAATATGTGTCGCAGTTAGTTGTCATGGCTCTTTAGCTTCTACTGATTGGGATCTTTCCGCTCACAGTAGTGACATTTCTAAAGATGACAAATCAGTTATTTTATAGAATGTCCCACACGAATTCTAAGACTCATTGATGATTACAGTCAAGGTGTGAATTCTTGACCAGAAGATTAAGGCAGCGAGGCTGGGTCCTTGCCAGCATCTCTCTGCAGGACAGATTGTGACCTCATGAGTGATGTCATTTTGTTCACTTGGTGAAGGTGTCCATTTCCTTCACTAGGTAGTGGCTAAGTTCCCCAGGGAACTACTAGCTATTCTTTTGAAAGACATTGAGAACCTTGCACTATTCTTTCTTCTCATCCCCCTCACTAGCCCCAACATCCACTCTAGTACCCACTGATGAGTCGGCTCCATCCAGTCTTTCTTTATGTGGTGGCTGCACAATGGTGATTTTCAGCTTCACCCTTCTTCACATTTATCAGCTGTCATTCTACTGAAAGAAAGACACACACTTCTATAATTATTCATCTACTTACTCTAAGCATGGACTCAGAGATTCCTATTTTATTCAGTATTTATTTTGACACACACACATTATTAAACTAGTGGGGGACCCTTCAAGCTGGCTTCTGGGATCTTTTAGCATTCTTCCTGAGCCCCATATATCTATATTTTTCCTTTTTAGCTCTTCCTTACTTCCCATTATAGCATGAAGTCTGAGATCATACATAACTTCTAGGCTCCAGTCATGATATCATTTATTTCTCCAAGGAAACCCTCTTATAGGGGGGAATGATTTACATATAAGGTATGTGCTTTTACTCTTAGGGTATCATTGTTTTGGTTTCCTTCAGTGGACAAGTCTAGGATATTTTACTTCTCTATAAACACATATGTATAGAAAGAACTCAGAACAATTGCATATGTTTTATATCATCAAAATATATTTGGTTATATGTGTCACCATATAAACACAGATACACATGTGTGCTTAAATAGGTATCTCACACACATATATGAAATGAGTTCATACTGTTATCTCTAACTCACATCTATTCTACAGGAATCTTCCTTGCTTTCCCTCATTCCATATTGTATCTCCCCTCTTCCATATTACAAACTCTAGCTCCAAAAAAATACACTGTTTGATTTGTCTAATTGCACAATATGCATAAAATAGTTTAATTGGTACACCCATACACTATGAAGAAAAACATAAAAAAGAATTCAAAAATTTGTTTGTAGTTCTTTTATCCACTCTGCCCACAGGCAGAGGGAATTAAGCTCAAGCACTTTGTTGAAACATCATGTATATTAGTGCTTTCAGCATGGCTGGGCTATTTACATGAAATATAGTTGGTATAGTTGGTGGGTATTTCCACCAACTGAGGCTTTCCCCTCTTCATTTTGGTGCTTTCCTCAGCACAAAAACTTGACGAATAACTTATGAAATGATTACCACATGAATTTAGTTAACATCTAGCACCTCATGTATTAAAAGTAAATTATTTCCTTTCTGACAACTCAGGATCTACTCTTAACTTTCAAATAGATTGTATGGAAATGTTAATTATAGTCACTATGTTGTACATTACATCTCGGACTTACTTTTAATATTAATTCTGTGTCACTGTTTGGTGTTTTTGCTTTAGGGACTCCAGTTATATGTAACTTGGTTCTTCTTCCCTGGCTTTCATTTCAACCACTTATCTCTAAACCATCAGTACTTTTTTCTTTTTCTTATTTTCAATTTCTTAATTATCTTTTTACCATTATTCAGTACCCTTTTATATTTTTTTACACCTGAATACATGGTTGGTAGAGAGTTAATAATGTACTTTAGTTTTCATCCTAAGAAATGTGATTTACTTTGCTTTCTCTTTTTAAAAGTTTATTTATTTATGCATACTGAACTGGGGTATTGGAGAGAGGTGCAGGGGCGGTGAAAGGATTCACCAGAGACAGAGTGGGGAGCAGAACAGGTAGACTGACAAAGTACACTGCTAAGGGGAGCAGCGGGCGGGTCAGGAGAGGTCTGCTGCGCCACGTGGGTCACCTCCTGGGAACTCACACTGAAGTGATAGCGGCTGGCTTGCAGTGCTGAGCTTTAACCGGTTTAGCCACCAGGGAGGGCCCTATTTTGCTTTCTTTTTTGAGTTGCGATGTATGCAGTTGATTTGATGATTTTCTGTAGCTATGCGTTTTGACTCAGGGTTCCCAGTTAAAGGATGTTCACTTCTACCTGTGTAATGAAATGCAGTTTTTAATAGATAACAGTGGTTCAGGGAGAGACTGGTTGTCTTTTCGTACTGCATGATCTTTAATCACCCTCCTCCCCTTTCTTCTTTCTTTCCTGTCACTGCCAGACTTCCAAAGGACTTTACCCTTTCTTTATTTATCTGACTTTGCCCAGAAGCCAGGCTTCTTTGAGGCTGCCACCTCCTGTCCTATTATCTTTCAAACTGCTCCTCTTTTTCAATCAAGAAACTGACCTGTGTTCAGTTGTTAGTTCTTGTTGTGAGATTTTGTCTTTACTAAGGAACTTAACTTCGGGCTTCACTTAAGTGCTGGGCAGCAGTGGAGGGAGCGCTGTTGGAATTTTATGTTTTTTTCTTAATTTGAAATTTCGTTCATGAGAATGCTCTGTCTTAGGAGTGCTGAGCCTTGTCATTATATATATTTTTTTTTAACCCTGAAAGTAGATTCAATGAAGAGATTCAGATTCAGGCAGCTGCCATTATCCTCTCGACTGGGACGTTCCCGAAATCAATGAAAAATATCAGTGTTAAGTAACATTTATTTCTCACTGGAAACTTTGCATGTTACAAGGGCATTGTCAAGGTTACATAGATCCTGGTACAGGACAGACCTGTCTAGCATCTTTAAAGATGTTTAGTGTGCTAATTCTTTCTTAAGAAAGCGACAAATTAAAAAGGTTAAAAACATAATATACACACAAATACATATATGTACATACAATTTTTCTTATTTCATGTTTACTTAAAAATGCAAAACCGGCTATTAGCGCTAGCTTTGTTCATTCCAAGAAAAATGTTCCCTTGAAACTTACTGGTTCAACCTGCAGGCCCCCACCTTAGCCTAACTATAGAAATAAAATTGGTATCAGAGGATCAGATGTTTTACAGCAAGCTCAGTAAGAAAACTGCAGTGAGTAACAGCAAAGTCGGGTCCAGAAGGGGATTTTGAACCCCAAAGCGCATTTGGGTAGGTCCGTAAGAGTCTTCCCGTGCAGGGTCAGAGGTGGTCCCAAAGCCCGCGGACCGAGGGGGTGACGGTCGGTAGGGAAGCGCGAGGCAGCGCGGACAGAGAGTCCCTCGTGCGTGTGCACGTGCGTGAGCGCACGTGTGCGCGCGCTCTCCCC